AGGTGACTCTGCAGGACATCTAGAACAGAGCAGGGCAACCGTAAACACAGAGCTACCTGCTGTGTGACCTTGGCCGAGTCACTTTTCTCTCTGAGCCTTACTTTCCTCTCCGTTACATCAAACCCGTCTGAAACTATTTTGTTTCTTGCTGGCTGCCTGCCCCGCCTGTCTAGGATGTGATGTCCATGAGAGCAGAGGCCTTGCTTTTCTCTCTTTCGCCTTCTCAACACCAATCTAGCGCATTAGTAGGTGCTCGATAAACATGTGGCAAATGGATGACTAGGGAGCTCGGTCCCTGCTTGCAAGCACCCTCACCCCACCTCCCCAGGAGGAGCCAGGGAAGATTATGGGGAGGACGGCAGCAGGCTGCTGGGATCCTCTCCGGCTGAACCAGGAGAGTGACCCCTGTGGATCACTGCCTCTCTCCCCACCCCTTGCCTTGGGGCGGCTGCAGGCCGGTTCGAGGCCTCAGTGATTGAGGAGCGGCGGAAGGGGGCCGAGGACCTGCTTCGCTTCACGGTGCACATCCCTGCACTCAACAACAGCCCCCAGCTCAAGGAGTTCTTCCGGGTGCGTGTACCTGCTGTCCCTCTTCCCGGGTACCTGGGAAACCTACCTGCCCTCGAGGCCGCGCTGGAGATTTCCCCATCCCTGTCTTTCTCTCCCGCAGGGTGGGGAGGTAACCCGGCCCTCTGACATGTCCAGGGACCTACACATCCTGCCACCCCCTCTGATCCCCACACCGCCCCCTGAGGAACCCTGGTTGCCCCAGCCGCTCCCTGCAGAGAGGAGAGGCCTTGAGGAACTGGAGGTGCCAGGTACATGGGGGGTGGGGAGGGCAGCAGGGCTGGAGGGTCTGAGGGGGGGTGGTGGGCACACACTTCCTCCCCAGTGAAGATTTTCCCCAGTAAAAATTCTGGGGTGTGTTCCAGCCCCTCTACCATTAACCTGCTGAGGAGCTCTAGCCAGGCCATTTTCCTTCTCTGGGCTATAGTTTCTTAATCTGTAAAAGGGGTACAAACCCTAAACGTGGGCTTATCTGTGCCCTTGGGTGCCACAAGGATTTAATGAGAGGCAATTCCATTTTGAAAGCTGGGAAATGATAAAGACAGGCATGAAATGTCACCAATGATCTATTCCTCAGCGGATCCCCCACCATCCAGCCCTGCCCAGGAGGCCCTGGATCTCCTCTTTAACTGTGGGAGCACCGAGGAGGCATCCGGTTCCCCTGCCCGAGGCCCCCTCACAGAGGCTGAGCTTGCCCTCTTCGACCCCTTCTCCAGGGAAGGTAACAAGCTGGGACAAGCAGAGGGGGGCTGATGTGGGGGCAAGGAGAGTAGGCAGAGCCACCAACTAGCTCGTGTCGTGCCTGTGTGAATCCTAGAAAGGAGCCCCCCTTCGGGCAGCCCGCAGCCTTAGTGAGAATCGGAAGCAGGTCCCCACCCCCCATACTCCCCCCTGCCCTGTGCCAGGGCGCATAAGCTGGAGGCCCCTGGACAGTGGGCAACCACAGAGGAAGGAAATGAGCCACCTCCCACCGTGGGATCTCCTCCTCCCTGAGAAAGCTTTGGAACAGGCAGGGGTCACCCTGTCTTCGGAGGGTTTGAGTTCCTTCCATTGGAAGCCCAAGGTGGGGGTTTCCCGGCTGGCTCGGGGTCACGCTGCAGATCTTGAGGGCAGGAGAGGCCTGTTGATCGGGGAGGGGTGAGGCTTGGGCTCAGAGAGCAGCACGGGAGGCCCTGCAGCAGCTGCTGGCAGGTGGAGGCACCACAAGACCCCCCGCCCCCATGGAAGGGGGAAGGCCCCCCATGGAGGGGGTTCTCAACTGAAGTTGTAAGACCTGAGATTCTCTGAATCCGTTATTCTGACGTTCCAAGGTTTGGAGCCTTTCTATCCTTGGCCTGGTATGGTTGCTCTAGCATCCTTCCGTTAAACTTTGTGGAGAGAATTCTTACGTTTGTAGATCAACTATAGTCAGGAGAGGAGTAGGCCCAGTGACCCAAACCTCACAAACTAATGTTAGTGCGTACCCAAGGAAAGAATTAGGAAGGTCATTGTTTTTGTTTTTACAAAAGCAAAGGACTGCATCAATTAAATAGGTCATGGCTAGTTTGCTATGCACAAACGGCTCTTGAGTTGCTCAGGCACTGCTTCCCTCCACGTGGAACAGGTTGGTACCTTGATGGGCAAGAGAGTTCTGGGGATGGGCAGCAGGCCCTGGGAAAAGGAGGGCCAGTCTGGCCTGAGTCCTCCATATCTGATTGTAGAAGGTGCGGGCCCCAGTCCAACCCACCTGGGTGAGCTGGCAGCAATGGAGGCGGAGTCTGAAAGGCTGGACCAGGAGCCCTGGGAGCCTGGAGGGCAGGAGGAGGAAGAGGAGGAGGAAGAACGGCCCGTCCCTGCATATCTGAGCCAAGCCACAGAGCTCATCACCCAGGCTCTGCGGGATGAGAAGGCAGGTGCCTACCCTGCAGCCCTGCAGGGCTATCGGGACGGCGTGCACATCCTGCTACAGGGGGTTCCCGGTGAGTAGGCCTGGAAGGTGGAAGGTCAGGCCCAGAGTCTCAGATGGTGCAGGGAAGGGAAGGTGCAAAACAAGCAAGTCCAGGGGGAGAAGCGTTGTCCCTGACCAGGTATATAACCTTGGGCAGTTTCTTTACCTCTTGTGGCCTCAATTTTCTTATTTGTAAAATGGGGAGAATAGATCTGATTCCCAGGGAGCGGGGGAGCAGCGGGGCAGGTGGGGAGGGGGGAAGATGCACGTTGATGCTCTGTGAACTGTAAGGGGCTGGACCAGGGGTTCTGAACCCAGGTGTCTCAGCTGAACCATTCTCTCTCCATAGGTGACCCATCACCTGCCCGCCGGGAGGGTGTGAAGAAGAAGGCAGCTGAATATCTAAAGCGGGCAGAAGAAATTTTGCACCTGCATCTGTCCCAACTCCCCCCGTGAGAGGACATGAACCCCTACCCAGGACTAGCTCCAGCACTGCCAGCTACTCCCTTTTACTGTCCCTGGGGCCTGGCCCTGCATCCTGGTCTTGTAACTCTAGGGGTGATTTCTGTATGTAACTGGACCAAGAATGAGACAAATAATGAATTTGAAGCTCCTTGACCACATCTGCCACCTTGGAATCAGGGACTCCTACTTGTGATCCTATCTTGTGTGAGCAGCATCTCTGGTCCTAAACTAGCTGTTTACCCATCTAGAACAGGGTTCTGCAAACTACGGCCAGCAGCCACATTTTGCCTAAGTGCCTTTTTCTGTAAGGCCCATGAGCTAGAAAGGTTTTTACATTTTTTAATAGTTGAAAAAAAAAATCAAAAGAATAGTATTCTGTGACAGGTGAAAATTACATGAAATTTAAGTATCTAAGAATAAAATGTGGAACACAATCAGGCTCATTCGTTTAATATTGTCTGTGGCTGCTTTCCCACTACACCAGCTGAGGTGAATAGTGGCAGAGTCGACTAATTCCAATCCGCAAATCCCAAAGCATTTACTATCTGCCCTTTGCAGAAAAAGTTTGCTGACCCCTGATCTAGAAAATAGGGAGAATAGTCTGCAGGGAAACAAGAGTAGAGAATGATAGCAGGACCGACTGAACCAGGTTATTGGGTGAAAAGGATGATGAAGAGGAACCCAAATTAGCGTTAGCCATTTTGGGAGGTGCCCAGAGGCGAAGAGCGAGGGTTTGGCAGGCAGAAACCTGGGAAGGCGTGGCTCTATTCCTTCCCCGCCCCTCCTGCAAAGCGGTTGGTTGCGGAAGGGACTACAAACTGGTGTGTCATGCGAGTGGGCGGGGCTGTGCGCGGTGCATCATGGAGGCTTCAGGGACGCCTGAGCCGGAGATGGTGGCGCTGAACTACAACGCGGGGCGTCTCGGGAGTCCTGCTGGAGGCCTTGTGGGAGGGGACAAGATTCGGTGAGAGGACGGCGCTTGCCAGTTGGGCGGTGGGGACGCCAGGCCCCGGGCGGGGAGGCGGGGCCCCGCCACAATCAGCCAGCTCCGCCGCCACAGTCCCCGC